CCTATCCTACAATTATTTTTTACTTTTACTCATGGTAAATATCCATTTAGTTAATTGGCAGAAATAAAATTGAGCCAAAAATCGTAGGTTTTACATTCTACCCCCTTACAAAAAGTTTCATTCTCGAAACTTACGTACCTTGATAAAAAAAGATAGGGATATCTATTCAGCATGTCTTCTTCTAACTCCCACGTTGCTTCTTGCGGTGTATGGTTCATCCATTGCACCTTCACGTAGGGCATGGTCCTTCTCCTTAGAACTTGATCTTTCCGATCCATGACTCTCAAAGGAATCTCCTCTACCGACAAGTTCTTCCTCACCTCAATGGGTTGATCCTCCAAAATACAGTTCAGGTCAGATACGTACTTCCTCAGTTGGGAGACATGAAAAAAACATTATGCATCATTGCCAAAGCAGGCGGGAGAGCCAATCGATACTTTAGAGGTCCAACTCTATCTAGTATTTCGTAAGACCCTACATACTTCGGACTTAACTTGCGACTTCTTCCAAATCTCATCACTCCCTTGGTAGGGGATACCTTCAAATATATCTTTTCTCCCAATTGAAACTCTAAAGGTCTCCTTTTTTGAATCTGCCCAACTCTTGTTTCAGTCCTAAGTTACTTTTAATCTTTCCAGAATAATCTTAATTTTCTCTAAAGTTCGTTCCACCAAATCAGGGCCAATGATCAGCTTTTCACCTACTTCATCCCAATATAAGAAAAATCTATATTTTTGCTCATACAACGCTTCAAACGGTGTCATACCTATCCCACTATGATAATTATTGTTATACAAAAATACCATTAGTTTCACCAACCTATCCCAATTATCCAAGAAGTCTAGAGCACTAGCTCTCAGCGTGTCTTCCAATGTCTGTATAGTCCTTTCCGACTGTCCATCCATTTAGGGGTGGAAGACGGTACTAGTCTCAGATCGGTCCTCATAGCCTCGTGTGCGTCAACCAGAACCTAGACGTGAATCTAGAGTCTCAATCTGACACTATTTTGGCAATTCATTTTTAGACCAGATATCACATTTTCCCCCTATAAAGGTTTCGTCCTCGAAACCTAAAAGACATAAACATCAAAATAAGTTAACAAAATTTTCAATGTTCTTGCAATACATCTTGGGAATTATTCTTACAATATCCAAATTGGATTTCCTTATTTAATTCCATCAAACTTCTGCTGCGCACTTTTATTATCCTCAATATCTCTCATTTTCATATTTATATAACTCAGATGGACATAATATCTCTCACAAATCCCACATTTTAAATAGTAGCTTATAATGCTTCATAGAGATCAACCTATAGAAAGGATGTCATAAACACTAATAGTACCATTTCTTCTTTTGTCTCACATTCTATCACAACTTACTTATCCACTATCACAAAAAGTAGTGATTATCTCAATATATGGGTTCCTGCCCACTGCGTTTGTAATTAGTAATGAAAATCTCTTATTTCCCTCAAATCTCAAATCTAAAATACCATTACACCTATTTTCAGATCCTATAATCTGAGTTATTATACCACTAACTGCCATGAGAATCTTATTTCCTTTGGTCAATTTTTTTTTAAACCTAGCTCCAATTCAATTTTCGAAAACATTAATATCCCAAATATCATTTCTCACACTTCCGGATCATAAAACCTAAGTTTTGATACAACTAAAAAATCATAGCAGTCTCTTATTTCTTTTGATCTAATTTTTCATCTTCTTTTAATTTCCAATAGATAATACTTCAAATACACATAATATTTCCTACACGTCTGACATCTTAAACATAGAGTATACTATCAAAATTACATCCAATAAAAGGACATCATAAACATCAATTGTACCATTTCAACTATTCACACATGCAAATTTTCAAACCCATTTATTTAGTCTTTTTTTTTTGTTGTCGAAACGATAGTTTTTTCATATATATAACGCTTTAAACTGTACAATATTTGGACAAATGTCCATAGAAGAGGACAAACGTCCTACCAAAAAAATCTTGGTGCCTAGCACCTAAGAGTGGGATTTACCCATTCTTCATCTATCCAGATGTTTAGAGCATGCAAGCTCAATTTAATACTGCCTACTATCCCTGTATTAGCAAAAGAGAAAGAACACTTATGAAACTGATTACTAATGAACTGGATATCTTCCATTAGAGTAGCCATCATATGGTTGCATTGCTGCCTCGAACCTTTTATACACTCCATCAGCTCCTTGATATCGAGCTCCACTCTGATACTGCTCCATCCTTGGCTGATCGCATTTAGTAGCGCAAGTCTCACTGCTACCGCTTGATCTTGTATTGGCTCAGTTGATAATCTTTCTCTTAGAGCCCAGCCCGCTTGAATTTGTCCAAGGAGTCAGTTGCAGTGATTCCTATCCCAACTATTGCTTGTCTTTTGTCTTGATGTGTATGGATCTTGATCAGTAGGCTGGTTTGGCTCTCGTTTTGCCCAGGCTCTTGTTCAGTTCGTTGCTGTATTTCTGTTTCCTGAGTGTTCTTCCTTACTACGTTGCCTTTGTTTGCCTCATCAAACTCTGTCCACTCCTTCATGGCTCTTTGAATAATCTTGTGTGGTTCCCTTTCTTTGTAGTTGAATTCTCTATCGTTCCTTGCTTTCCATATCTGCCAGAGGATATTAATGGTGAGGTTCACCTGATCCTCCCTTCCTCTGTCTTGTTGAGCTTCCATTATTGCTGTCCACCATCTTATGAAGCAATCTAACAGCTCCATATTTCCATCCCACTGCACCGGTGCCATCTTCCAAATTTCCTTAGCTTTTGTACACTGGATCAGTAGGTGTTCAAGAGTTTCCTCCTTGTCTCTACACCCTATACAAATAGGGTTCCCTTGCCTTGTTCTTCTGTGTAGTTCTGCTCTCACAGGGAGACCACCATGCAGGCACTTCCAAATGAAAACTTTCATCTTCTGCTTACCTTTTGCTTCCATAGTGTTTTCCAGATTTTAGATATGGTCCCTTCATAGCTTGTTCCAGTTTCCTCCCTCCTCCTTGTACTTTCCAGATTCTTTTCCATCATCCATGTCTTATAGCCTGACTGAACTGTATATTGTCCATTCTGCGAGTGCGTCCAGTAGTAACTGTCCTCCTTTCCAGTTAGGCTTATAGGAATTCTCAGGATCCTCTCAGCGTCTTGTGAGTTAAAGATTCTAAAGATCAGCATTGTGTTCCATCTGTTGTTGATCATCAATTCTGATACATACTGGAGGTTACATCCCTAAGGCTTTGCAGACGTTGGCTTCCCAGATGGTCTGTCTGGAATCCAGTTGTCCTCCCATATGCGTGTGCCTTTACCATTCCCAACTTTCCTCCTGCTTCCATTTAGGACATCTTTTCTAACAGTTGATAAGCTTTGCCACAGCCATGAAGCATTCTGAGGCACCTTGCAGCTAAAAATGGATTGTTTAGGATAATATTTCGCTTTTAGGACTTTACTAACTAACAAGTTAGGTTGTGTTATCAACCTCCAGACTTGTTTGGCTAGTAGAGCTTTGTTAAAAATTTGCAGGTCCTTGAAACCCATTCCTCCTGTACTTTTCTTTTCAATCATTTTCCTCCAGCCAATCCAATGCATCCTTTTCTTTCCTTCAGATTCACCCCACCAGTAGTCTGCCATTTTGGCATTAATATCTCTACAGAGCTTGTTGTGTAGTCTAAAACAGGACATAGTGTAGGTAGGCATAGCCATCGCCACCGCCTTTAGCATAATTTCCTTGCCAGCCTGACTCAGCAACTTGTTCTTCCACCCCAATAGTTTATTATCAATTGAGTTCCTGATAAAACCAAACACCTGCTCTTTTGACTTTGTAATGATCATTAGTAATCCAAGATATTTGCCTTGTCCTACCTGCTGGATTGACCCCATTGTTTGACAGACTTCATTCCTCACTGGTTGGGTTGTATTTTTGTTAAAGAACACAGAGGATTTATCCATATTGATAAGCTGGCCGGTAGCCTCTTCGTACACTTTTAGTATTTGCATTAACTTTCTAGCTTCTTGAGAGTTGGCTTTGCAGAATACTAGGGAGTCGTCCGCAAAGAATAGATGAGTGATAGCAGGAGCTCCTCTACTGATCTTAACCCCTGTTAGCTCCTTCCCCATCTTTGCTTTCTGCAACATATGTGACAGTCCCTCTGAACACAGCAAAAACAGGTAGGGAGATAGTGGGTCTCCTTGTCTGATGCCTCTTGAAGGGGTAATGAATTCCCTATGCTCTCCATTTATGTTGAAGGAGTAGGTCACTGAGCTGATACAGGTTGTAATCCATTCTATCCACTTGGTGCAGAAACCCATCTTGGCCATTATAGCTTTCAAGAAACCCCATTCCACCCTGTCGTAGGCTTTGGACATATCCAGTTTCACAGCCATTGAGCCTACTCTACTATGTCTTTTATTTTTCAAAAAGTGTATCAACTCATGAGAGAGCATGACATTGTCTAAAATTTGCCTACCAGGCACAAAAGCTGATTGACTCTTGCTAATGCATTACACAGGAAAGGCTTTAGCCTGTTGGCAAGAATTTTAGCTAGAGCTTTGTACACTACTTGGCAAAGACTTATAGGCCTGTACTGTTTAATCTCAGTGGGGCAGTTTACTTTTGGAATCAAGGAGATAACAGTGTGGTTAATGGCTTTAAGCAGGACACTGTTATTAAAGAAACCTTGGATTGCACTTACTAGATCCTTATGAATAATGCTCCAGAATTTTTGAAAAAATATAGGAGACATTCCATCATTTCCAGGAGCCTTATTAGGATTCATAGAGAAGAAAGCAGCTTTTATTTCCTTTTCCTCCACTCTTTTAGTTAGCTCCCTATTCATTTGTTCAGTTATAGAGACAGGAATCCCCTCTAAGATTTCGTCTAGCCCCCTGGTCTTGAACTCTTAAACAGTTCCTTATAATAAGTGGCTACTTCCTTTCCCACCTCCTCTTCAGTTTCTGTCCACTCTCCACTAGCCTTTCTCATTTTCTAAAGCCTATTCCTTCTCCTTCTCCCCTTCACAGTTGCGTGGAAGAACTGAGTGTTTTTGTCCCCTTCTTTTAACCATCGCACTCTTGCTTTCTGGTTCCAGTAAGTTTCTTCATCCTCGTATGCCATATTCAACAGTCCTTTCATCTCCTGTATTTTTTGCTTCTTGTTTTCTGCATTTGATTCCTTCATATCCTCAATCTGATTTTTGCACCATTTGATTCTTTCCATCGAATTCCCTTTCTTACTACTGCTCCACTTTAGTAGTTCAACCCTACAGTTCCTGATTTTCTGTTTCACCTTGAACCATCTTGTCCCCTCACAAGGTGTGTTCCATGCCTCCTTCACCACCTCCTGAATTCCATCATGCTGGAGCCATCTTTTGTCGAACTGGAATCTTTTTTTCCATTTCTTCCTTTCCTTCTCTGTATCTAGTACCAGCATGCTGTGGTCTGATGCATGTGACTCAATATGTGTGCATTTGGCTTCCTCATAGCAATGTGACCATTCAATCGAGCATAAACATCTGTTTAGCCTCTCTTTAACTTCACCATTCCCGTTTCAGTTATTGGTCCATGTCCATGGCTTGCCTTCAAAGCCAATATCCATCAGCTGATTTTCATTTATAAACCTCTTAAAGTCTTGGAAGGTTCTGTTATCTCTCATTCTGCCACCCTATTTTTCATCATTTGAGGTGATATCATTGAAATCTCCCATAATCATCCATTTGTCTCCCCATCCTGCCTTCCTCCTTTTTAGTACCTCCCATTGTCCTTTCCTTATCCGGCAATCACAGCTTGCATAGATACCAATAAACCACCAGCTTTCCTTTTTTTCCTCGTCTTCCACTTTTGCTTCTATAGTAAAAGCTGTTCCTTGTACTTCTGTGATCTTGACATCATTGGTCCACAAAAGAGCCATACCACCACTTCTATTCATGGCTTCAACTATAAAGCTATTATCAAAGTTCAACATTTTTTTTACTTTTTCCATGTATCCTTTCCTGTTTTTTGTTTCACTAAGAAAGATTATGCTTGGGGAGAAAGTCTATTTTCCTCCTTCAAGTGGGGAACTGTCAAGGGGCTCCCTGCACCTTGGCAGTTCCACACCAGAACTCTCATGGATGGTTTAGAGACCATGTTGGGCTGGTCTCTTCCACCCTGTGCACCTGTCCATTATCTTTCATTTCTTCTACTTATTTTTTCCTTTTAGCCATCTGTTCGTTTGATCCCAAATCAGGCATTTCCTCATCAGTGATACTCAGCTTCCTTTTAGTTATCAATCCTTTCCTTGGTTCCAAGTTCTGAATCTCATGCAGAGGTTGTCTACCTCTTCTATTCTTCCTGTTTAAAATTCTTACTCTTCACTCTCTTTTTATTTCTCCTTCCATGACCTATTCTGGCACTTCCTCATCTTCCTGCATGTCTATGTTCATCACTACACCTTCATCCACACTAGTACCTTTGTGCATATGCTCACTCTCTCCAGGCACTGATGAGATTCCTTCTATTATAAGCTCATTCACCCTTCTCTCCACTTCAGTGCCTGTATCCTGATACCCCTCTTGCATACCTCCTTCTCCTTCCTTCACTCTCTTGACCTCTTGTGCATCTAGGCTCTCCACATCTTCCTGGTCACAGGTCTGTATACTCTCATTGAGCACTTCCTTATGACCCTGCAAGGTGTCTGAGCTCTCAACCTAGGCTAGGCTTTTACTACTTTCAGGTCTGACTGATTTGGGCCCCTGTTCACTGCTTTTCCCATTATTTTTCCTGACCCATTCCCCATTTTGAAATCCCCACACTTGTCTATCTGGATGGTACGAGTTGGATCTGCCATCCTTTTGTGGGGATACTTTCCCAGTCTGAGCTCGTAACCAGGGTCCATACTGGTTTTCTTGTTGACCTTTTTTAATATTCACCTCATTCATACACTTTCTTTAGTCACAATTGATCATTTCCTAGGGTGTACTTCATCTAAAGAGTAAATCGTACCTCAAACTCTGTTATCATTAAATATTATGAAAATCTCTTATTTCACAACATTCTATCCAACCTTATTCCCATTTTCTAAAATCACTAATATTACAATTATCATTCAACATACATCTAGATCGCATAACCTAAACTTTGATAACATTAAAAATCAGATGAATCTCTTATTTCCTTTAATCCTCTTTTTCTTTTCATCTCATTTCAATTCTCAAAATCCCTAATACCTCAAAAACCATTTCACATACTTTCAGACCATATAACCTAAGCTCTGATACCACTAAAAATGTCACGCCCCGAACCCGCATGTGTTCGTCACATGACATCCACCGTACTCCCAAATCTCACTCAGGAATACAAGGCTACATTAACTAGTTAACTTTGATAGTACTAAATAATTTAACTAAATAAAGTGCGGTACGAATTACATATAAAAGGAAGTCTACGAATAATCAAAACGTTCGTACATTTATTCTCCAATAGAAACAGCGGAAACAAAGGTAAATAAGACCAACAACTGGACGTAGCCAGCCTGCCAATTTCTATTCATCTAAAACTAATAAAAGTCATCCTCAGGGTCTTCTACGTAAACCAATTCATACTCTTCAGAATCTGCAAAAATGGTAAGAAGTGGGTTGAGTGACACATCGCTCAGTAGGTAATATTTACCCCTCTGTTGGACCATGCACTCTTAATTTTATAGATACATATATATATATAAGTACAACTCAAATTGTTTGCATATCATTCATATCCGTAATTTTGAAAGTAACGTTATTTATAAAGCAATCAGTAGTAAAGAATGAAAAGCAATTTAAAAGCATCTTATTGATAGTTGTACATGAGAAATTGTAAAGTCATAAATCATTTCGTCTCAAGTCGCAAATCTCTTTATATCCATTTGTAAATCAACTCATATCAATTCATAAGTCTCATTTCAAATCAATTCATAAATCATTCTGTCAAATCAGCTCATAACAAGTATAAGCAATGACGGGATACTGAGCACTCAACTTAGAGATTAGACCCCTTTTAGGTAGGCGACCAATAGATTTCATGACTATCGATTGATCTCATTTCATTCTTGGGTCAATCGGCCGGACTTTATACCAGGCTACCATGGCTTTGTCAATCGGCCGGATTCTATACCAGGCTACCATGACCTTACCAATCGGCCGGACTTTATACCAGACTATCATGACGATTAGACAGAACTATAGCCCCTACCGTCTATTTTATGACTGCTCTGAGTTTTACTTGTCAAAATTCATTTCATATATCGTATACATAAATATTTGCTTTCATAAAAGATCCAACTCATTTGTATACAAGAACATATCAAAACATTTCAAATAAGTCACATGGTCTATTTTGTATAGTAAAATATAATTTTCATAAATACACAAGTAAAGCATTTAATCAAACTTCTTTCAAGTCAACACAACAAAATGTGATTGAAAACAAGAATTTCATTTTGCATATTTGAAATCTCAGAAGGGTAAGTACCACCTACCTTTGTTTAGCTGTTCGAGTGAAATTACCTTAGATCCTTGTACCGTACCTATCAAATGCATGAGTTCCCTAATTAGTTGTTACTTCCTATGGATGCATAAATACACAAACTCTGACTAAGTCGAAGATTCGTTTCTAGACCATTATATGGACCCTAATAGCATCCTTCTAAATTGGATGATTTCTATTTTTAGAAAATTTCTTAATTGGGAAGGTTCTCCTTTTAGTAAAGTTTCCTAATTTAAAAGAAAGTAATTATTCATAATCATGCTTATTATCTTGACTACTATCTTATTATATCTATTTATAATTTATAATTATTCATTATTATTATTATCATCCTCGTCGTCACTAATTTACTTTATTACCACTTATATATATGTGTGTTAATTAGTTACTATTACCTTTCCTTTTATTTCTACTTTTATGCGTGTGTAAGCGTTATTATTATTTACGTACACATGTACATATATATATATATATATTGGCTTATTACAATTATTATTGTCTTAATTTATCCCACTCGTATTTATATTTTTATCTTCGTTCATATCCTTAATTTATTTCCTCCATGTTCATATTGTTAATATCCTTACTATTATTGTCTATTATTTATTATTTACTATTATTATTATCATTATTATTAGTGTTATCGTCAACATTATTATTTACTATTATGATTATTATCATTGTTGTTATTATTAGTATTATTATTAGCATTATTATTATTATTATTATTATTATTATTATTATGACTATGATAAATTTATCTCACCTCGTCTACATTAGCCTCATAAGGCTAAATTAAGATATCCTAAAATTTTCTTTAATTATCTTAGACGTAATTAATTAAATATAAGTTTTACATGACCAATACTTCAATTCTAACAATTACTTTAAATTGGATCCTGAATTTTAATACCCATGATAACTTATAAAAAATAGACTAGTTATATTCAAAATTTATTTATTAAATTTATCTTGTATTTGGTTAACATCTAAATTATCCCTTTTTCCTCTTCGGGCTAGAGCCATGGTTGGCCAGAAGGCCAACCATTTTCTTTTTGACCATGGTCGCCAGACTCTCTGGCGACCCTTTGTTTTCATTGGTTGGCCAAAAAGGCCAACCATCTTTCTCCGCCCTTTTGTTGTTTTTTTTTTTAATTTCCTTTGGGTTGGACCCATCGACCAACCATCCTTGACTTGGTTGACCGATGGCCAATTCTTTCATTGGGGTCAGGCTTTCTGCCGTTGCTGGCCTATTGTTAGCAACACATGCTAGCATTCTTTTTTTTTCTGTCTTGGGTTGGCCGAAGACCGACCTTTGCCAATTCTTTTCTCTGCCGCCACTTTCCGTATGGTGTTGCTACTGCAACGCCTAGCCAAAACAAGGCAGCGGCGGCTGGCAGATTTGGGCAATTTATTCATCCAAAGATCAGAATCTAACACCCTATTTCTACTAATCCAAATATGAATCCTCCTAAATTTCTTGTAGACAAGCATATATCTCTATTTATGTAATATAATACAATCCGTAAAATCTTTAGAATAATTAATCCGACTAATAGAATTTAAACGAGGAGTTTTCACATGAATCTGGGACTTACAGGTTTAGGTGCCTAGTTGCCTGACTGATTGACAGCGACGCCTTCTTCTCTTTCTCTACTCTCTGACGGCTCTCGCTCTAAGGGGAGGCAGACAATGAAAGGGAGGAATGATATTTTTTTTTGATAAGTGTGCTAAACCCTAATAACCACCCACTAGTAGATGGGTTAGATAAGAGTTTTAACTGCTATGAACTTTTACCCTATCTTATCTCATTTCTATCCCTCAGTAATCCTTTAACCTATCATACAATTATTTTTTACTTTTACTCATGGTAAATATCCATTTAGTTAATTGGCATAAATAAAATTGAGCCAAAAATCGTGGGTTTTACAGTCTTTCATGTAGGTGTTTTGTTAATCTCCTACTCAGAAAAGCAATCCATATGGTAACCAACAAGATTCGCTTGTTTAAAATAGATTTTTTCATCTTCAGAATGTCTTTCTATTTGCTCCAGTTCTTTCGATTCCTTTTTCTTCATTGGGTTTTCAACATTTGAAAAATTAATAAATTTCTTCTCTAAGAATCAGGAACTTCCAAGTCACATTGGTCATTGGCCAAAACTTTGAGTTACAAAAGATTGTGTGATGCTATTATTGCTTTGTGTTGAAATTTTTTGTTTTAGTACATAAATTGTCTCTTGGTAAAACCTCTTGAATATTCGTTTTATGAAGCTTAAGTGGATATTATACCAAGTATCTTCAGCAATATATTTTTTTGTTACAATGGCAATCTAAATGGTTTTCCTATTTGTAGGTGGTTAAAGGTTTGTCCAAGATGAGGATTCTCAAATATTACATTCTAAGCACTTACTTGACATAATGAGTAAGT